TATAATAAGGATCTACAATGTAAGCAACATGACCCAAAGAAACGTGAATAGGAAAATAAAGGCTAAATTATGCGCAAGCATGCTTCCTATACAGAGAGGTTTGTAATGCACGTTAAAACAGAACATTATCTTAACTTATTATTCTGAGGGATGTCTAGCTGAAAAGCTAGATTTATGCTTTAGCGTGGTGCATGGGATTATGACATTAACCAAATGTCATTAAAAACACAACATAGCTTAGTATCATCTTCTTTTAGCAAAGATAAAGGTTCCCCTCACACATATGTGTTAGTCGTTTCCAGCTCTTTCCATTACAAAGCCAAAGAGCCAGCGCTGTCCAAAGGTGTCTCCGTGGTCCTGTGGCTGGCATGACTAAAAGCCAAAGGCGCACGGAGGAACGCCGTGACCTTCCCACCAAAGGGGTCCCTATTTTTCTACTTGCATGTTTACATTCTTTTGAACTGCTAGGTTGGCAGGAGCTGGGACAAGTAACGGGAGCTCACTCCGTTACGCGGTACTAGGGATTCGAACCGCTGAACCGCTGATCTTTCTGATCGACAAGCTCAGCGTCTTAGCCACTGAGTCACCACGTCCCTCTTTTTTTAATGGCCCATGTTTTAATGACCCATCTTCTTTTAATGATGCCATTATCCCTTGCGGGGTGAAGTCTGGGCAACTGAATGGAACTAACAGAGCGTTTACTGGCCGGATGCCCTTCTGTGCTGTCCAGATAGTATATAGGTAATGGGAATTGAGTTAGTTAAGTTAGAATTGGGAGCTGTCCCCTTAAGGGAATGCCTCATGGTAAATGTAGCTAATGCATCCTGGGAAATGTAGTTCATTTCTGATTGGTCACTGAATTGATCCTTGGTTGGGTTGGGGGAGGTCCTTCATCACTAGTCTTTTACACTATGAAGTCGGCTGTGCAAAGAATTGGACATTAGATGGATCTTGACATGACCGTGAGTTATCTTGAGGATGCCTAATATCATCCAATAAAGAAACTTTGTATGGAAGACTTTGTAGAGTTTGCCTGTCTGTCTTTATACATTCAGCCAGTAATTATAAAAGACAGAACATCTTCCTTTCGCCAATGCGGAGTTTCTCATTGTGCCCAGATAGCTGCCTCTACCTAGGATTGAACCCACAGCCTCCTAATTGTGACTCTAGGCTACGGCACCACTCACAGCATAGCTTAGTATGATGAGGTGATATTGAAGTATAGTTGGTTGAAACACTATTGATGTCAAAATTCTTCTGAATTTTGAACAGGTTTATCTTCTGAACAGTTTTTTTTTACTTGTTTGTTGGAAATAACTGGGGAGGGGAGTGAAGTCCACTAACCTGGTTTAAACCACAATTGAGTGGATATACAGATTAATCCCAAACTCTAGCTAGCCACATTGATGGGGTCATACTACAGGCAATCCTTGACTTACAACCATTTGTTTAGTGACCGTTCGAAGCACTGGAAAAAAGAGACTTATGACCATTTTTACACTTAGGGCCTATTGCAGTATCTCTGTGGTCATACGGTCAGAATTCATATGCTCTGACAACTGCTTCATATTTACGACGGTCATGCGATCCCCTTTTGCAATCTTTGGACAAGCAAAATCTATGGAGAAGCCAGATTCATTTAAGCACCGTGTTCCTCACTGAACAACGGCAGTGATTCATTTCATAACCGTGGCACGAAAGCATCTTAAAATGGGACAAACAATATTGTCTTGCTTAGCCAACATAAATTTTGGTCTCAGTTATGCTCCTAAGTTGAGAACTACCCATACTGGCTTGCTACAACACGTCAGCTAGCTTCCTACTTCAGGTCTCATGTGAATCCCAGGCAGTTAAGTGTAATTCAATCCATCAATCAGAATGGAGCTTGAAGGGACCTTGGAGGTCTTCTAGTCTAACCCCCTGCTAAAGCAGGAGACCCTGTCCAATTTGAGACAAGGGGCTGTCCAGCTGGTAAACTATGGCTTCGTTTAACCATGGTTGTTCAGAGCTGGGTAAATGTGGATGGTGAGTGTTGTGGTTTGCGGGTGGCAGCGGAATCGGACAATGGGGAAGAACGGGGACCAGTCCGGGATTCTGGGGAGGACTCGGATGAGGGTCATGCGCCCAATGCGGAGATGGTGCCAGGACCATCTGGGAGTGGGGTGCTGCCTCCGGAATCTGGAAGCAGCGAGGCAGAGGAACAAGGGGAGCCTGTTCCCAGTGTGTGTGTGTGCTAAGCCATGCCACGCCCACCAAGACACACCCACAGAACCAGTAGTATTTTTTTTTTGAATCCCACCACTGGTGGGGAGGAAATGGAGATTTTGCAGTATCCTTCCCCCGCCATGCCCACCAAGCCACGGCCACTAAGTCATGGCATGCCCACCAAGCTATGCCCACAGAACCGGGAGTTAAACATTTTTTTGAATCCTACCACTGAAGCAGAACCATCTCACACGCAGCGAGCAGTTCTGCATCAGCTGACCAAATGGTTGAACAAGGGGATGGATCTTTATAGGTTTCTATGACTTTGGAAGTTTTGGGAATGATGCAGTGTCCCGAAAGGACGTTAGGCAATTCCTATTGTGTCTTAATGGTTTTCATCCTGTGTTGGATCTTGGGTGAGGGGCTACTTACTCTAATCCTACCATTCTGCTTTTGTTAGCTGTCAAACTTTGCTGCAAGCAGTTTCGAGATATCGAATGGATTTCTGCCTGCTTTGCTTATGAATGGAGCCATCTAGATAGTTGCTTTCCTCTTTCAATACGCTGGCATCTGACATGGGCTATTAAGAAAGATTTGGGGGCTGCTTTCTGTCTTTAAGAGCATGTTTCTCCATTTCTCCTCTAAGGAAATAGAATAATCTGCTTTTTTAATATTTCCCAAAATATTTCATTCATCTAGGAGGGGGGTGGGGGGCTTCCCACAGCAGCATCCAAGAGTTATTCCTGACTTCTGGGGCATTTATATATAGAGTGCAAATGATGGGAAATGTAGTCCAGCAGATCCAGAGGGAGAAACTTAGACAATGACCCAAGCTTGCAGGAGTTCCTATCGTTTAGAATAGAATAGTACGGAATAGAATAGAATAGAACAATAGAACAATAGGGAATAGAATAGAATAGAATAGAATAGAATGGAATGGAATGGAATGGAATGGAATAGAATAGAATAGAATAGAATATAGAATAGAATAGAATGTAGAATATATAGAATAGAATAGAATATATAGTAGAATAGAATAGAATATTAGGGAATAGAATAGAATGGAATAGAATAGAATATAGAATAGAATAGAATACTAGGAAATAGAATAGAATATAGAATAGAATATATAGTAGAATAGAATAGAATAGAACAGAACAGAATACTAGGAAATAGAATAGAATAGAATAGAGAATAGAATATAGAATAGAATAGAATATAGAATAGAATATAGAATAGAATAATAGGGAATAGAATAGAATAGAATAGAATAGAATAGAATAGAATAGAATAGAATAGAATAGAATAGAATAGAATAGAATAATAGGGAATAGAATAGAATAGAAAAGGAATAGGACAGAACAGAATAGAATAACAGACTTGGAAGGATACCTTGGAGGTCTTCTAGTCCAACCCCCTGCTTAGGCAGGAAACCAGTATATACTATTTCAGACTAGCACGGAGGGTGTCCGAACCCGCTTAGAGCCGGGTTTATTCGCCTCCACCAAGATTTGGCCGCCACACCTTTTCACACCTGCGCGCTCACTTCTTAGCCCCCCCGGGCAGAACTCCATGGGAGCCGTCGGTCGTGCCCCGCGGAATCCTCGCGCTGGGTGGGGAGGAGGTTTCACTCTTTTTCTTTTTTGCGCAAAGCAAATTTGGGCTCAGGGGCTGCCAAAAGGAGGCACGCCCGCTCCCACTCCTTCCCTCCCACACACACACACACATATACACACGGGGAGTCCCCCAGCCCCAGGAGCCGAGCCAGGCGCGCGCGCGCGCGCGCACACACACACACACACACACAATCTCTCTCACACACACACATGCGCAGTGCGCGGATGCCATATTGGAAGAAGGGTGTCGGAGGGGGAAGAGGAGGGGAGACGCGCGCGCGGGGAGGGGGTGGTGGCTGGGGGGTCTCCGCTGTTTTCTGGTTTCCCTCCCCAGCCGGAGGGCAAAGGAAGCGAGGATCGGAGACTTGGCGCAGGTAAAAGGACAGCTGGCCCGAAAGGACCAGCCGATGCCACGCAGGACGCGAGGTCTCGGGTGGGAGAAAAACGCCTGGATGGCGGGGCTGGGTTTGGTGGTGTGTGTTTTTTTTCTTCCCCTCCTTCCCCTCTTTCTTTCTCTCTCTCTCTCTCTCTCTCTCTCCCCCGCCCCGATTCCTTTTTTTTGTTGGCACAGTTTTATTCCTAACCGAGTTGCGGAGAAGGGAAGGGGAGATCTGTCGAGTCCGGGCCGAGGAGGGAAGGGGGTGTTCCAGGGTCTCTCTCTCTCCCCCCCCCCCCCGCGTGGGGTTCGGGGTTCCCCTAGAATCCGCCCGGCCGGACGGCCAACCCGCCAGACCCCCCCCCCCATTTGCGCAGGAGAAGCGCGGGCGCCCCTTTTGGCTCCTTGCTCCGGGTGGCCGCTCCGGCTGTCGGGAGACCCGCAGCCTCCCTTTTTAGGCAGCCCTTTTGGGGTTAGTTAGACCCGATCCACAGCAGTTGGACCCGATCCAGAGATGGCGCGCCCAAATCCACGCCTTAAACTCCCCGACTGCGGGAACCTTGCGCGTTTTGTTCTCGGGAAGGAGAAGGAAGGTCGGATGGGTGGGGGGGAAATCTGCAGCCCCTCCCTAACTAGGAAGACACTATTGGATCGCCTCTGGCGTGCCGCGCGCGTCTCTTTTGGATGACCCTCCTTTTTTCTTCTTCTTCTTCTCGAGTGGGTATGTGTGAAGGTGCGCTTTGGCGGTTCTCTTCCGAGTTGACAGGTGGGAGCCAAAGCTGATTTCCCCACCACCACCACACCTTTCCAGGCGTGTTGGATTACAGTGCCCACCATCCTTAGCTCTCGGGGCTGGTGGTCAGGAACGCAGCAACAGCGGCTGGATATGGTTTCTTGGAGGAAAGTCAAATGGGGAGGACGGTGTGTGAAACCGGAGAGGCTATGGGGGCTAGAATGATTCGTCCCCAAGACGCCCTTAACCCGGGAAATTAAAGACACTAGGATGCGTTCGCCCAACTGCGCAAATCTTAATTAGTTCTTAATTCTGTTTAACATTTGGCGGGGGCGGGGGGGGGGCGGGGGGGGGAACTTAGGTTCGCACTCACCCCTGCTTGGTTTTGTGAGCTCCGGAGTGTCCGTGAACCCAGAAAACGGTCAGTTCTGTAAGCAGAAGTGTGATGTGTGAACGCGGCACATTACACGTGCACAAACGCATCTCCCCACCCACCCCCTCCAACTTGCAGAAATCACTCCAAGAGCCACCGTTTTAATGAATTGTATGCCCTGCGTGGGAAAAAAAACGCTTTATTTTAACATGGCGGGCTCAGAAAAACGGGAAACAAGCACTCTTATTAAAAGGAGAAAATGGAGAGGGGGGGGAGCAGGAATCTACCCCCAAGTCAGTTCAATTTCTGCTGAGTCCACAAGAGCGAGGATCGGGACCGTGTGGTGGGAAGTCGCAGGTCGCGATCCTAAAGCATTTGAAGCTTCCCCGTGGAACTCGCTGGTTTCCATCCTGGGACTCGTTCACATGTTCTGGGGGGTAGCGGGCAAAGGGATAACCGCGCTTCGGGGAAAGAGGCAAGTTACTCGGCCGGTAACATAATTCTTTCCCCCTCGTTGTTAAGCTAGTGCCCTTGTTTTCAGTAGAAGCGGGGGGGGGGCGAGTTCACACGACCCTCTAAACTAGACTGACTTGGAACGAGTTGGGAGAACTCGGTTTTTTGGATTAGGGTCTGATTGATGCCCACCAAGCCAAATTGTCAAGGCGTCTCCTAGGAACGTAGGAATGTGACTTTTGGTTTAAAGGCAGGTTTAGACGTCTCCTGTGAACAAAGAATCGGGACAGGATTGAAGCCTTAAAAGTGGGAGCTGCCGGCTTTTTTGTTTCAACCACGATCTCTAGCAGATTTCCAACAGTCGCTGCTTCTTCCCTTTCCGTGTTTTACATGCCAAATATTCGGAAGATTCGAAGAAGGGTCTCCCGCTTGGGCGGGGGTAGTGGGGTTGGACTAGATAACCTACAAGGTCCCTTCCAACTCTGATTATCTGTTAAACGCATCACACCAGTGCTGTGACTCTGGACCGTATTCACACGACGCTTGGGTTTGGCGGGGTGTCTTAACCCAAGCAACTGGATGGGGGGATTCACAGAGTCGTGTGAATCCAGGCGAGGTCTCGTTGCTTCATGGGATTTGGGTGGGTTTATTAAATAAATAAAACGGACCGATTCTGGGCCCCTTGAGCTGGGATTAAGTACCTCTTCGATTGGGACTTGACTTTCAAGTAAATCCAGGTTGTAAGAAGTTCATAGCAGACATCCAGTAATTTTGGAGGCAAAGGTCCAATTACAGTGGTATTTGGAGTGGTGACCACGTAGAAATCCCGGGCGGAGAGAAAGTAAAACAAACCCAAAGGTGCTTTTTTTTTTTTTTTCCAGGAGGCAACTGGACTTTCTTGTTTTGTTTTGTTTTTTGAACAATTTCTCTTCTCATCCAAGAAGCTTCTTCAGCTCTGACAGGATTGTGAAAAATGGGTTTATATTCCTTGCAGACAGCTGGTCATTAGCATCCTTTTAGAGGGTCGTTGAGGCCACTTGGAGGTTTATCTGTGTCCTCAGGGTCGCCTAAGTAGTGCAAATGGTTCCTGTAGTTTGCCATTCCCCCCCCCCCCCCGAAATCCATTCCTACTCCCCAACCATTGCAAGAGTGTCCATCCCAAATTGTGTAGTCTGTCATTGTGTAGAAGTGTATTGTGTAGTCTGTAATCCCAAAGTCTGTGGAGATTTCAGTCCTCCAGGTCGTGGTTGCCCCAAAGGAGTACCGACTCTACAGACCCGGGGGGTGGAAAAACCGCTTCGATGGCGAAGTACAACGAAGGAGACTTTAACGTTGGCTAGCTAGGATTATACACTTGTCTTGCAAACGCTAGAACTGCAATCCCGGCGGCCAAATGTTACGGGCCGCTTTTCTTTCCATTTCTGGAAAGCGTGTTTGAAAGGGAGGCGGGGGAATGTCCGGGCCTCCTGCGCGCATCCGTAAAAATGCGACAAGGCGCCGGGATCGCTTCGAGCGAAGAGATCGCTGGCTCCCGGCAGAATGCGGAGGCGGGGCGGATGACTTAGCTGTGTTCACACAACCCGCAAGATCAACGCGTTTCCCATGTCCGCAAAATAAACCGCCTTGAGGGCTGGGGAGGCTGCAATGAAGCGATAAAACAAGGCTGCAATGAAGCGATAAAGCAAGCCAGTCAATTCCCCTCCGGCGCATGATGGCTTAGCGTGGGGTCGTTAGGATTGGTGGTTTGTAAACGGGGCGGTTTATTCCAGACGCGAGAGCGAAGCAAAGCGGGTTGGGCGCGCGGCGTGGATTTGGTGGGCGCGATCCCGCGTCTGCTATTCGAGGGGGAAAATCTCCTTCGGGAAGAAGACCGCGTTGGTTTGCAGCTGCCGCGCCCGTCTGAATCCAGGATTCGACCCAAGCTTGTCTCGGAGAGGCTGGTTCGGCTTCTCCCGGGTTGGGAAGACGGGCTTCTCAGGGACGGGGAAGGGGCCCGAGAAGGCGGCGGAGGTTTGAATTGCGCGCGTCCCCACCAGCGCGTTGCGCAAAACGAGCCTCCCTTTTTGCAAAAGAAGGGCGGGAAGGCAGAAGCGGGGACGGGGTCGTGTGGTTGGAAAACACGTGTGTGTGTGAGAGAGAGAGCGGGGGGTGGGGAGAGGGAGAAAGGGAGAGAGACAAAGACAGAGAGACAAAGACAGAGAGACAGAAAGCATTGGAGACCTGCTAGGTTTGTGTGGAGAGGGGAGAACACCTACTGCGCATTCACAATGGGCCAATCTACGCTAAAATAACAATAGCACTTGCACTTAGGCTTATCTACGGCTTTATAGTGCTTTACACAGAGTCACCCAATTGTCCCCAACAATCTGGGTCCTCATGTTACCCACCTCAGGAGGATGGAAGGCTGAGTAACCTTGAGCTGGTCAGGATCGAACTCTTGACAGTGGGCAGAATCAACCTGCAATACTACATAGTGGATGGGTGGGAGGGAGGGATCCAGCTGGCTTTCATTCCTACCAATAGCATTTAGACTTATATACCGCTTCACAGCCCTCTCTTAAGAGGTTTACAGAGTCAGACTCTTGCCCCCAACAATCTTGGTCCTCATTTTACCCACCTCAGAAGGACGGAAGGCTGAGTCAACCTTCAATACTCCATGATGGATGGATGGAGATAGATAGATAGATAGATAGATAGATAGATAGATAGATAGATAGATAGATAGATAGATAGAT